TAATGTTGTAGGGAATATTTCAAGCATTACCCCAAACTTGAACCCCACTGTGATCATACACTTCAACATGGTGGCGTCCAAAGGGAAGGAAGCTAGAGAAAAGAGTCGCCAACAAGTTTTAGGAACTTGTAAACCGTTCACAGGGTGAAGGTTACACCACTTAACGATCCAAGAGATCGTCAACTCCAATAGGTCTTGGACCAAGACTGCAAGTTCGGGGATGAAGGTACAAATCCAACCTAAAAGAGATTGAACCTGCCCTAACAATAGACCTCTACTTTATTCTCCTCGTATTCCTGTGCACTTTCAAACTAACATGCAATCAATAGGTTAACCCTAAACCTGTTTAATCTAGGTTGGTTGAATATTAATGCACAAATAAATCTATTATTGGCTATCACTTGAAATATAATCAAATTAACCCTAAACAAGGTTATTAATTATCTTATTAAGCGTAATTACAAGTACCAATTCCCTTTAAACATGCATAAAAGGCGTGATCAAGCAATAACAATAAATATCAAGCAACATAATAATAATAATGATAATAATAATTATAACAATTAAAATAATCATGATTAAAAATCATGATTATTTTAATTGCGTTTCTCCGTCCCTATCGATACTTTGACTTTTGTTTTTGAAACTTGCGTTTCTCCAAACTCAGTCAAAGTGGGGGCTTCTGTAGACACCCATTTGTGTCTCCCCAAAACCAAACCCAGTAATGAGTACCTTTTACATCGAATCATAATCGAATGAAGTGAAAGTGTGGAAAGTCTAGTGTTGCGATTAGTTTTTAATTCTTTTCTTTCTCTTTGTTTTTGAAACCCTATTTATGAAAAACGTGCATTCTGGTTTAGTTTGGTCCATGACAAGGGTCCAATAATAGTGTAGTTGGATTGGGTTTGAAAAGAGCTTTCCAACGATGTATTATAAGCCCAATTCCGATGAATAATGAGGAAGTTATGGCCAAATTACTAAACTGGGCCCGGTTTGATTTTTATATGCGATCCAATGATCTAGAGGAGGGCCTATTATGATTTATATTCCTAATGAAATTAGGATTGATTATAGTTTTCTAGAATCTTCTATAAGGTTCTTTTGAATCTTAATGTGATTATGATAAATTAACTTTTAAGAGTTTTAATTAGAATAAAAGAAGTGTTTTTAAGGAAATTACAGTTTTACCCCCTCGTACGCTTAAATTTTATCAACAAAAGAAAACGCGTGGAAAAATTGATTGCAGCGCCGCATTACAGGACTGTCGCCTGGCGTCGTGGCGACAGGTGCGTGTTTGGCGACAGGTGCGTGTTTGGCGATAGCGTCGTGTTTTATTCTTTTCGAAACTCTGATTCTTTTTTTTATCATATCCGGCTGATTTTCTTTATAAATAGCGTCCTTAGACCTCCGTTTTTTAAATCATCAATTCTTCTCACCAATTCTCACCAACTCTCATCAAGAATTTCTTAATTCTCTCTCTCTCTTTTTTCTAACCAGCCTTCTCTCAAATAAAATTCCGCATTCACAAGATCTAGACACACCTAGGCAAGTTCAAAGTTGCCTTCGCCCTAGACGTGAAAGGTTTAATTTCTGAGGGTTTGGTCCCAAATCTCTATTTCAATTATTTAATTTAATTGTTTGTTTTTATATTTTCCTTGAAGTTACTAACGTGTGTATTTTGTTATTAGAAAGAGGTACGAGGCATCCAAGTAAGTGCTTTAATTGATTTATTGATATTATGATATAGAAATCATGTTTAGGTTGTTGTTTTGATTCCTAGTATCATGTTAGGATGCTTTCCTTGTATCATGTCTAGGGTAAAATTATAATATCAAATATGCTTATTATGATCTATGTGATGCTTCCTATTTTCTTTCCTAATATTCATGTTAGTATCATGTTAGGGCTATATATTTGATCTTTAATGTTTAGTGACATGCTAGGGTTTGTTATTAATCTTGTTGGTTATTAGTATCATGCCTAGGATCTTGCTATTAATATTATGCTTTAACATGATTATTTTAATTATGATTATTATTATGTTGCTTGATTTTTATTTATTTTATTGCTTGATCACACCTTTTATGCATGTTTAAAGGGAATTAGTACTTGTAATCACGCTTAATAAGATAATTAATAATCTTATTTAGGGTTAATTTGATTATAATTCAAGTGATCGCCAATAATAGTTTTATTTGTGCATTAGTATTCAACCAACATAGATTAAACAGGTTTAGGGTTAATCCTATTGATTGCATGTTAGTCAGGAAGCGCACATGAATACGATCAGAATAAAGTAGAGGCCTATTATTAGGGCAGGTTCAATCTCTTTTAGGTTGGATTTATCTATGTCAATCTATTTCTCTATGTGTAAAATTCACTTGTTAATTATCAACCACTCTAAAAATTAAGAGTTTTTTTTTTTTTTTTTTGCTTAATTCATGATCATACCTATCATATAATCATATCAAAACCAAAAAAAAAAAAAAAAAAAAAAGATCTATAGACAAACTAGTACAAAACAATTAGACAAAAGTAATTTTTTTATTTTTTGTAAAATAAAGTTGAATTTATACAACAAAATTTTACACAATTGAACACAAGTAAAATATTGAAGAAATTGAAGAAAAAAAATCACTAGACAATATTGTTGTAGAAAATTTGGGGGAAACCAAAAAAGGAAAGATTAAGATGAAAAATCTAATATTGTTGGAGTTATAAAGCTTAATTATAAAGTTTTAAATTAAGGAGTCAAAGAGGTTCCCACAAACAAAAAAGGAAAAAAAAAAACAAAAACAAAAACATATGTTGAATAGGATTGAACCTCAAACCAATAAACCATGAGAAATAATCTTAAACCCACTAACCACTAAGCCAAAAGAATTTAAGCAACAATTAAATGATCTATTTAATAAATATCCTAAAACTACGCAGGGGGTCAATTAATAATTTATTGGTCGTGGAATTGGGCTATAGGGGTACGGCCCTTTCCAGCCTCCCCTGTAACTATGCCCCTTGCTAAAATAATGACGATTCGGCCTAGTGCTTGGCCTTGGAGGGTAGCATATAGCACAATACTGAGGGTTGGGTTTTGGTACATAGGTGGTGGGGGTGGGGTTTCGTGATCAAGGTGGGATTGGGTTATGCCGTGGTGGTGTGGTGGTCGTGATGAGGTGGTTGTTATGGTGGGTTTCCATGGAAAGGGTGGGGAGGTGAGAGAAGAGATTGAAGGGGAAAAAAGTTTTAAATTTATTAAACTAGGTGTAAGTAAAGGGATCAGCTTAAAAATATTGGTGATAAAGATGGGATAATTTCTTGCTTTCTCACAGGTGAGATTGGTTTAATCAAACTACTTAAAAGGCCCTTCGACCCTTTTTTACGTTCCTATTTCTAAAATTACACGGGAATTAAGGAACTTGGAATAAAACAAAAAACAATAAAATAAAGTACAATGAAAATTACAAGACATTAATTGATGTCTTTGAATAAAACAAAGATAGAATAATATTTAATGATGCACATGTCATCAATTCTTTGAAAAGATAAAGGACCAATAACATTTTTGGTGAAAAATAAAAGGGCTAATCATATTCATCAAAATTGATGCACATGGATTATGAATTTTTTAAAGGCTGAATGAAAATTTGAGACTCTCACCACTTTTAATTCAATGGACCTGACTATATAAACACATGAAGCCAAAAAATATTCCACCATAATCTCTGTTCATAATTTAAATTTTCAGCAAGTTAACAAAAAAAAATCTGAGAAGATAGGAGACTTTTTTCGCATCATTGCCTAATTGAGTTATGCCTTCGGAAATCGATTTGAACATTCCACCAGACGATCATGGACTAGCGAAGCTGACATCGATGGAGGTAATAGGAGACTTTTTATCGACTTGAACACGGAGCCAGTTGAAGTAGAGTCTGATTCACAACATGAAGAACATGTTAATTACATGCAACAACAAGTCTATATATATATGAATGGGAAGCAAGAAGAAGCTCCACAAAGGCAACGTAAAAAGGCCAATAGGCTCAGCACTGAAGGGAGATTTAATGTCCTCATGTTTCTCATGAAATATGCTGGAGGGGACAAACCACACAGAGGAGCCATTAAAGTAGCATCAGAAAAGTTCAATATATGCACAAGGTCTGTGAGTCAAATATGGCATGATGCAAAAAAAAAAAAATGGCTGAAATTGAAGGTTACAATCCAGTTCCAAAATACCATTTGGTAGGAAGGAAAAGGATCCAAATCCAAGAAGAAGACATAACAAAGCTGAGCATTGGTGAGAGGTCATGTATCAGAGACTTGGCTCACATGCTTAATGTCTCTAAAACCACAGTGTGTTTAGGATGATCCAAATAGGGGACTTGAAGGCACACACTAATGCCTTAAAGCAAAAAATGACAGAAGCTAACAAATTGGCAAGATTGAAGTGGGTCCTAGAGTTGTTGATGGGATCAACAGCTTGGACAAAGAACAAATACTTTCCAATATACGACTTTGTTCATATAGCTGAGAAATGGTTCAACTTATCAAGAAAAAGTCAGAGGTATTACTTGTCAAAGTCAGAAAAGGGCAAACATAGGGCTGCAAAGTCAAGCATAAGAATACCTAAGGCTATGCTCATGGCAGCCACTTCAAGGCCAAGTTTTGATGAAAATGGGGATTGTTATTTTTATGGAAGACATGGCATCTTCCTATTTACAAAGCAAGAACCAGCCAAGCGATTCAAAAAATAGGGAGAAGGGGACTATGGTCACTAAAATCATTGAATCAAACACAAAAGAAACAACAAGAAGGATGCTTATTGATCTGATTGTACCCGCCAATGTTATTAAAATCGCGATTTGAATCGTGGAATCGTACGATTCTACGATTTAAATTTACTAAACGACTTAACTCGGTGATAAAATTGCTATCCTAAAAAATCGGCCATAGAATCGTTAGAATCGTGTAGAATTGGTAGAATCGCGAATTTTCTACAATTCCAACGATTCTGACTTAAGCGTTGAATTGGACTCTTAAATGAGTTTTACACCATATTGGTCCAGCCCATATGAGATGCTAATCGGTTCTTTGTTTTCCTTTTTCTTTTTTTACAACTTTCTAGATTCTTTCACTCTAATTCTTCTCTCTCCAACTTTACTCTTTTTTCCTCCTTTACTCTTTCCACTTTCGTTGTTTATGTTTCTTTTTCTCAATTGAATTTTCATCCATTGTTGCTGGCTTGCTGCTTAAATTCAAGGCTCGATTTGCTCATAAGTTCATTAAAGTGCTGCCTCCTTGATTATCAGTTTTTTTTTTTCGTTTAACTTCAGTATTTCATTTAAGTGTATGTATTTTATTTTCGTTCGACTTTAGTTGCTTGGCCATAGCTTCAGACCTTTAGTAGTTCGGTAATTTAGTATCTCCATAATTATTGGGACGATAAGTAGAAGATTGATTTTTTTTTTCGGGTTGATAATTGATTTCTTTTAACTTGCCCTAACTGTTAAAATTAAAAATTTGAGACAAGTAAGTTTAATTTAATTAGGCTGATGGTCGATTATTTTTACTGGAATTTCTGACACCTAATTTTATTTTTTCTTTTGGTTTTAATTTAATTTCATGAATTTGTAATTTTATACCCTTAATTTTAATGTGATATTCTCTTCAATAATAGGCATGTCAAGCTCTGGCTCGACCTTTGCAAAGAAGAGAAAAAATGCTACTGGTAGTAGATCAGACCCTGGATGGGAGCATGGTTTTCAGGTTGATAATGATACTAAAAAGGTATGGTGCAAATATTGTTCAGTAGTGCGTTCTGATGGTATATTTAGACATAAGCATCACCTTGCTGGAACTGGTTGTAATGTGGAAGCTTGCTTGCAAGTCCCTGATGATGTAAAACAAAAATTTAAGGCAATATTACAATCTAATGTTGAGCAGTCCAGTAGAAAAAGAAAAAATTGAATGATATTGGTGAGGAAGAAGAGTGTATTGGATATCAGTTAGGTCATAATCAATGGGGTAAAATGGATTCTTTTGTTTATAGAAAACCAGGACAACAAAAAACACTTAACCAAAAATTTAAGAAGGAAGAAAGAGAAGAGGTTTGTCAACAAATAGCTCGTTTTTTCTACACTAGTGTCATTCCCTTTAATATAATGTTGTAAATAATCCTGAATTTCCAATCATGGTTGAAAAAACGGCTAAGTATGGGATTGGACTTAAACCTCCAAGCTTCCATGAAATTAGAGTTAAATTTTTAAACAAAGAAGTGACGAATGTTATTAATATGCTTGAGGAGTTTAAGGAACAATGGAAACAAAACAGGTTGCACAATTATGTCGGATGGGTGGAGTGATAGAAAAAGACGATCTATTTGTAACTTTTTGGTTAATAACCCTAAAGGTTCTGTTTTTCTTTCCTCTATCGATACATTAGACATCTCTAAGACAGCAGATGTTAGATGCTGTTGTAGAACAGGCTGGTGAAGAGAATGTGGTGCAAGTAGTCACCGACAATGCTGCGAATTATAAAGCTGTTGGTGAAAAATTGATGGAGAAAAGAAGTCAGTTATTTTGGTCAACATGTGCTGCCCATTGTATTGACTTAATGTCAGAGGATTTAGATAAAAAAAATAAATAAAGGTTCATAGTGTGACTATTGCAAAGGCTAGGAAGATAACAACATATATATACTCTAGAACCTTAGTCCTCACATTGATGAAAGAGTTTACAAAAGGCAGAGAGCTTATTAGGCCTGGTTTCACTAGATTTGCAACTTCATACCTGACTTTGAGGTGTTTAAATGAACATAAAGGACCATTGTTGGCTTTGTTTGCATCTAATAAGTGGAGATCGAGTAAGTTTGCTACATCAGACGAAGGGAAAAAAATACAAAGAATTGTTTTGGATACTCGAGGGTTTTGGCAAAGCGTTGTAACATGTTTAAAGGGTGCCCTGCCACTTGTGAAAGTTTTACGTATGATTGACATTGCTTAATGGGATTCATCTATGAAGCAATGACACAAGCAAAAAATGTCTTTCGGTAGCAATTATTTCGTAGCTATTGTACATTCGCTACAATATGCTAGTATGTTTGTGAAATAATTAAGGAAGTCGTTTCATTTTATAATCGCCATGGTTTTCCCATATAAAATCGATACGGAAAACATTATGTTACATATATCCACACTATTTTTACCCATTTATATAATTTTTAGAAATCGTATCATTTACAATCGCCACTAAATCTTAAAAATCGATATGAAAAGCCTTTTCAACACTAGATATATAAATATTGTTTGACAAAGAATACATAAAATATGTCATAGCTTATTGGTGAAACATTTAATACAAGACTTTGAGGTTGCATGTTTGAATCTTGTAAAGATCACACATTTTTTTTTTTGAAGAAAATGAGTTAAACATTTATAGCGATTGTAATCGCTACAATAATCACCACGATTGGATGCAAATGTTCGTATCGATTATTGAGGTCAACCCCAACGATATTGAATATTGTATCGAATGACCATTCGTTGGTAAAGTTTTTTGTTGCAATTACAATCGATAGTAAAGGTTAAAATAATCACTACGAAAAGGTTATTTTCTTGTAGTGCAAAAAAAGCTCCAGGTTGTAATTTGTCAATCATTTTATATTTTAATTCATGAAACTTAATATTTTTCTAACTTACTTATTATATTCAGCTGATTGGTGGGAGTCGTATGGAGATGAATGTCTGGAGCTACAAAGGTTTGCAATAAGAATTTTTAGTTTAACTTGCAGTTCTTCTGGTTGTGAGCGTAATTGGAGTGCATTTGAGATAGTAAAAAGCTCCACAATCTAATGATACATTCATGAATCATATAAATGGGTTTATGTTCTGATTTTTAAATTGATATTTGATAATAACAGGTTCATACAAAGAAGAGAAATCGGTTGCATCAACAAAGAATGAATGATCTTGTTTTTGTGATGTACAATTTGAAGTTAAAGCGTAGACAATAGAAACGAGCAAGCAAGTTTGTGATACAACAACCTATAATTTTGGATGAATTGCAATCTGATGATGAATAGATTACTGAAATAGAGGAACCCGTTCTTCCGACGGGTGGAGAATGGTTTGATGAACTCGATCGAGCGGCTAGAAGATTCACTAGACAAGCAATACGAGATGAGAATGAAAGCTTGTACAGAGAAGTACAAGGTATGTATCTTTAGTGTTTTTTTTCTTCATTCTAATTTCTAAAACTCCTAGTCTCCTAATATATTACACTTCTTGTTTTTATCTTTTCCTTTTTTTCACATAGATAATGTGGTTGAAGTCCAAACATTAAGTGATGATGATGATCCTGCTGAAGGAAATGAGGCTGCTGCAACTTTTATTGGCTCTAATGAAATTGATTTGGATGATTTTGGAGTTGTTGATGATACCGATGTTAGAGGGACTACCACAGGAATTGATATAGGAAGTGATGATGTAGATGGCGGTAGTTTTGGCTTTGATGATTATTAATTAATTTCAATTTATTTTCTAAGAATGATTTGTAATTACTACTAATTAGTGCTTTGCACTATTCTAAACATCATTATCATTATAAAATTTAGCTTTAGATAGATAAGTTTGACAATATTGTCATTTTCTTAGGTTATATGTAAAAAAAAATGTATTTAATATCATGATTTACATAAAAAATGAGTAAATAAGTGAAACAGTTGGGTATACTTTCTTATTTTTGCAAAATTGTAGAGCGGTCGATTCTACGATTTGATTCTACCCCCCTCTTCCGATTCAAAGTAGAATCCCGATTCTAATAACGTTGGTACCAGCTATAAAGGAAAATTGGCCAAATGAAGGGAAGCCAAAGGTTATTTACATTCAACAAGATAATTGCAAAACACACATAACTCAGGATGATCTTGAGTGGCAACAAGTCTACAAACAAGATGATTTCACATTCATTTTGGTACAACAACCACCAAACAGCCCTAATCTTAACATATTAGATTTGGGATTTTTCAGAAGCATACAATCATTGCAACAACAAAAAAATGTCAAAAGACATTGATAAGCTACTCAAGGCAGTTAATGATGCATATCATGAGATAGAGCCACAAACACTCTATTTTGTGTGGTGTACTTTGCAAACTGTCATGAATGAAATACTAAAGGTTGGAGGTGGCAATGACTTCATCGTGCCTCACATTAATAAAGAGAAACTTTTAAGGCAAAGCAAACTAAAGGAAAGAATGGATGCGCCTACATGGGATGTTTTGAAGGCATGAGAGGCAATTTAAGGGGATGTGGGTGATCCAACATTTGAAGAACAAGATGAAGAACCAGAAAACATAACAGAAGCATAGCACCAACTACCACCAGAAACAGTTGCAGGTATTTAGGAGGAATATAACACAAAGATTCATGAAGAGGAAGCAGAGAACATGGAATTCAGAGGGTTCGACTATAGTGAGTACAATGAAGAACTACATCATTGGGCATCATTACTTAACAATGAAAATTTTCTAAAGTCACAAGGCTTGTCAAAATATGGAACTCCATTCTGCAGCAATGACCATGAGGTTGGCTCATCAAAGAAAAGTAATATGATGTTATGTACATAGTGGTAGCAAGTTTTTGGGGACTTTACTACATGTGGGCTATGTGATGCTATGTAAGTAGTGGTAGCAAGTTTTTGTAAGTGTTTTAATGACTCAATGAAATGAAAAGTTTTTTCATCATATAATCAAATGTTTTTTTAAGGCCAAGTATAAACATATTCTTATCAACTCAGAAGTCCCCATCAATCACTGATTATTCACACAAACGTTGCTCACAATTAGCTGCCTAAAAGTCTCAACACCCATTGGTAAAGGTGGAATCAGATGGAAAATAATCATGACATGTTGTTGCATAGATAATCTCATTTTTTGGAGTCTCATAATTGATTGAAAGAAGAAAAAAAACATATGTGTAGGAACATTTCAAGCATTCCACACTTGAGCCCCACTGTGATCATACATTTAAGCATGATGGCATCCAAAGGGAAAGAATCTAGAGCAAAAGAGTCGCCAACAAGTTTTAGGAACTTGCAAACCATTCACAGGGTGAAGGTTACACCCCTTCACGATCCATGAGATCGCTAACTCCATAGTGGTCTGGAACCATGACTGGATATTTGGGGATGAAGGTACAAATCCAACCTAAAAGAGATTGAACCTGCCCTAATAATAGGCCTCTACTTTATTCTTCTCATATCCATGTGCGCTTTCTGACTAACATACAATCAATATATTAATCCTAAACCTGTTTAATCTATGTTGGTTGAATATTAATGCACAAACAAATCTATTATTGGCGATCACTTGAATTATAATCATATTAGCCTAAACAAGATTATTAATTATCTTATTAAGCGTGATTATGAGTACAAATTCCCTTTAAACCTGCAAGAGAGGGCGTGATCAAGCAATAATATAATATCAAGAAACATAATATTATATTGACACAACAAATCATCATCATAATATTAATCTCAATCTCAATAAAGCATAATAATATTGGGAAGATCCTAGGCATAATACTAACAAGATTAATGACAAATCCTAGCATGTCACTAAACATTAAAGATCAAAACTTTAACCCTAACATGATACTAGCATGATAGAAGAAGACAGGAAGCAACCTAAAAATGATACTAGAAAGCAATAAAAGCATCCTAACATGATACTAGGAATTAAAATAATATAAACATGCTTTCTAAAGATATATAACAATTAAAACAACTAACTTGGTTGCCTTGTATCTCTTTCTAATAACAAAATACACGCGTTAGTAACTTCAAGGAAAATATTAAATCAAACAATTGATTTAAATAATTGAAATAGAGATTTGGGACAAACCCTCGGAAATTATCAACCTTTGACGTCTAGGGCGAAGACAACTTTGAGCTTGGCTAGGTGTGTCTAGAACTCGTGAATGCGGTATTTTGTATGTAAAAGCTAGCTAGAAAGCAAAAGAGAGAAAGAAAAAGCTATTGCTTGAGAGAGAGGAGAGAATAAAATTGATGATGATTGTTGATTATTAAAAACGGGGAAATACAACCCTATTAATAGAGAAAATAGTCCGAAATGGATAGAAAAGAGTTAGAATTTGAATCGGAGTAAAATTGGCTCCTGTCGCGAACGACAGGACCCAACACGAAACAAAAGGGATCATGCATGGCGACAGAGTCTGTCGTTTGGCTAGAAAGCAAAAGAGAGAAAGAAAAAGCTATTGCTTGAGAGAGAGAAGAGAATAAAATTGATGATGATTGTTGATTATTAAAAACGGGGAAATACAACCCTATTAATAGAGAAAATAGTCCGAAAATGATAGAAAAGAGTTAGAATTTGAATCGGAGTAAAATTGGCTCCTGTCGCGAACGACAGGACCCAACACGAAACAAAAGGGATCATGCATGGCGACAGAGTCTGTCGTTCGGCAACAAGGCTGTCGTTTGGCGCTGGTTTAAAAGATAAAACGCGCTTTTGTACGGAATCCTTTTCCTAATATAATTAAGTAAACAAACTCCGTGTTTATCAATTTTAAATTAGATTTATCACAATAAAACACTTGTTTCATTTCAAATCAAATTTCATATTTCTCAAAAGATATAATTATTAATCTTAACTTTATTAGAGCTCAAAATAACCTTCTAGATTATTCTAGAAGATTTAAATCAATCCTAATAATTTTAGGAATATTAATTAATGGGTCCTTTACTAGATCATTAGACCACAAAACCATTTCAGGCTCAATTTAGTGTTTTGGCCATAACTTCCTCATTATTCATGGGAATTAGGCTTATAATATATCATTGGAAAGCTCTTTGCGATCCCGATCCAACTACACTATTTTTTTTTTTTTTACTCTTTTTTAATTCAAATTTTCGAAAATAAATAAAGAAGAAGACCAAAAATTTTCGGCCCTCCCCCCTTAAAAAAATTTTCTGACATTCCCTAAAATTAAAAAAAAAATAAAATTCGGACCTCTTTTAAAAAAAATTCGGACCCTTTTTTTTTAAAAAAAAAAAATCAGGTTTTAATTTAATCAAATAAATATTTGATTTTCTCAAAATAAAATAAAATAAAATAATTCTTTTAAAAATTTTCACCAATAAATAAGTACTTGGCCAAGTTTAAAATTAAAACACTTTAAAACACGTTTTTGGCTTTAGTGGTAATAAAATCTCAACCAAAGATCTGATATTATTCAAATCAACCTTGGCAAACATTTAATCAAAATAGGAATCATAACCTTTGATTCATTAGCATAGTCAAAACAGAATCAAATCAGGACTATAATCAAACCATATAGAATTCATAATCATAATCATAATCATAATCGACGAAGAATCAAATCATGACTATAATATGTACGCCCTGGCAACTGGAAGAAAGTAAACGAGATAAGCATTAACATATTGGAAGCTAGGACAAATAAAGGGCAACTAGTACATGGGGAAACAGAGGAATCAGAGAATAAAGTAAAGCATATATCATATATCATAAATCATAAATCATAAACATGTTAAAACAAAATCATATCAGATCATATATCATAAACATGTTAAAGTAAAGCATAAATTCAATCTTAACATGCTCCTATTCGTCGTTCTCCTCATTCAAACACACATAATTCCCCTGGCCAGCAAGAGATCACACTTGCTAGCATACACTTTCAACAACTAACCTAATCAAAAGTTCTTAAACAACATAGATTTAAAAGGAGGAAGAATACTTAGCTATGTGATTCACGTGAATCACTTACGTAGCCCGCCAACATTAACGTCATTTGAAGGCGAATTAGTGTTGCTAGAGTTACTCATATAGCAAAATGTGTAATGACGAACTGAAGATGGAGATGACATAGTGTTGCTAGAGTTACTCACATAACCAAATACAAGGGACTTTTTTTCATCAACAGGGGACTTTTTTTAACAGCAGAGGCTTTTTTTTTCAGTATCAAGGGAGCAGTTAACTTCCTCAACATGTTTTTTGTTTATTTTAGATGTCACCTCCCCACCACTAAGGGTTTTACTGTCACTGACAAACCACCTAAAATACCCACTTTCTTCCCTAGGGTTGAGGTAACAACCAAATCGCCTCCGCCAAACATCTAGGCTATAAGAATGGTTGCCATTGCTTTCAGTCGGCCAGTGACAGTCACAATTCGAACACTCGTAAGGTGGAGTTTCCCCACCATCATCATCACTATCAGAACGAAACAAAACATCATGATCTGGGCCAAACCGCTCATCCCAAACAAGGGACTTGTTTCAGCCATTTTAGATGTCACCTCCTCACCACTTTGGGTATTACTGTCACCGTCACCAACAGACCACCTAAAACAACCGCTTTCTTCCCTAGGGTCGAGGTAACGACCAAATCGCCTCCTCCAAACATCTAAGCTGTAAGAATGGTTGCCATTGCAGTTAGTTGGCCAATGACAGTCATGATCCGAACACTCATAAGGTGGAGTTTTCCCACCATCATCATCACTATCGCAACGAAACAAAACATCAGGATTTGGGCCAAACCGTTCATCCCAAACAGGACGATTTGGTTGCTTTGGAAGATAGGAACTTGAATTCTTAGACATCCTTCGAAAATAAATGGAAGAGGGAAACTCGGTTTCAAAGAAATTAATGAAGGTTGTCGAAAATTACCTCAAAATAATTGGGGGGGGGATGCATAATAAACATCGATTGAGCAAGCTAACCCTAGATCTGATGGTTTTTTAAGAGAGAGAAAATAAACGGTGATTACGAAAACTTCAAATCTACGAAAAAGGAACACTATTTGCGCAAAATTCACATGATACTTTTGTACAGAAGACTATTTCTGTATTTCAGATGTAATCATGAGAATTAAGGGGAGAGAGAGAGAGAGAGAGAGAGAGAGAGAGAGAGAGAGAGAGAGAGAGGATGAAGAAGAGAGTAGAGAGAGAACCTGGTGGAAGAACCCAGAAACAACGATGAAGGAGGAGTGGGAAAATAAGAGTGAGAATGATAAAATAAGAGTGAGAAAATATTGATTGCAAAACAGAAAAATAGGAATTATTTGGGATATTTGGTAAAAATTCACTTACTAAAAAAGGAAAACAGGAATGTAAAAAAAAAGACGGAGGGAGTAAGATATTTTTTTTATTTTTCTAAAATATAATTGCACAAAAAGAAAAAAAAAAACCCATACATTTCCTTGCATCCTCGATTTATAAAAATGGGCAAAATAAAGAGGATTCTAACTCTATTAAATTATTTTCAACAAATTAAACTACATATATAGAGAAAACTTATATTACGGTATGCCACTTACTTTGTGTTATCTATTATAGACAATTATATATATAGTTGCATATATATGAATGGAAACTTTTATAGGTAGCTGGTCGCATGGTGTATAGGTTATTTTGTCAGTGTTATAGGGGTTATTTTGACACTTAAGTGATATTCAATAAATATAATAAGGGGTTACCATGTTAGTATAATAGAGATAATTTCGTTGTTTTACAAGTGGCCACACACTGTAGCCAACTGCATAGAAAACGCGATGTATACAAATTTATACAAGTAATTTATCAAAATAATTATTTTGTTGTGTGAATACAAATTACTCCAAATAAGAGTCTGTTCAGATTTACAGAACTGAGCTAAACTAAACTTATTGGAGCTGAACCAAACTGAATATTTTGTGAGAGAAAGAACTTAAGAACAGAACCGAACTTAACTTATTGGAGCTGAACTGAATTAAAATGAACTAAAAATAGAGAGAATTCAAGTTTATCTCCTAGATAAACTTGGAGTGTTTATCCAGCCCTAATTTCGTAATTTTGCGTTGCAAAAGCAGGGGTAAAGTCGGAAAGTAATTTTTATACCACTTGACAGTACACAAACGTTTATCCACGCCTAGGTAACCTTGGGTTAAACTAACCCAATGCCCATTGTCGTCAATTCATCATCAATCACCGTAAACCTCCATCATTCTCTCTCCACCCACCGCGTTTCTCCGACAAACCCACCTCCCGACACTCTTCTATGATTCACTTTGACCTTCCATTATCACCAAAGTTTCAGGGAGCTTTCAAGATGGTTTCAGATGCTTTTTTTTATTCCCCTCCTTTTTCAGTTGGTGGGAAGGTGTGGTGACTGAAAAAATTAAAAGTCCATGTTCCAACTTACAAGAGTTACAAACACGCACAAGTTGTAAAAAATGAGCATCGCCATTGTTGAACCTCTCAATTTCACTCACCTTTTCAGTGTGTTTGCAGAAAAAAGGGGAAAAAGTAAACTGAAAAGTACTATCATCTTCTAACCATGAGTTAATTTAACCCAACATCGTCAATTCGAATGTAACAGACGTTACTTTTCGTATATGACATGGCATGCCTACTTTTTCTGATTTTGCAAGTTGCTTTTGTACAATTTATTATTTTTTATTCAGATTTCAGGACTTATTTACGACTATGCCATGGGATATACATGGTTTGTTAATCGGGGAGATAAATGGGGGCGTGCTCCTTAAAAATAAGTTGAAAAAAACAACCCTTAGTCCCTTACTAAAAACTGGTTATAAACCAAAACCAACATGAATTATTAATATTGAAAAAAATAAAATAAAAAGGGACCCCCATGGCGCCTACCCATTTGCAAATGCATTATATAGTTCACTTTCCCTCGCATTTCCAATTTCCATTGACCAATAACATTATAAATTTGGGTTGAATCATATAAGTTGGCAAGTAGATATACCATATACGTATATGATAATGACATATTTAGCATCAATTAATTAATTAATTAATTATTACTCCATACAAAAACAAATTTTGCGTCCAATTTTCATTTTAAGAGATGTCATAACCTTTGGCGGGCCGGTTCGACTTTCTAAATGTCGGCCGGTGAGTCTTCTCATCTTCCTACTTCACATCCAATTTTTTTTTTTTCTTACTTCCAAATTTTTTCGTCAATTTCTTTCCTAGTTTTTCTCTAATTTTCCCGCAATTTCGGGTATTTTTTTTTACCCTTTTTTCTTTCTTTCCATTTTCATTTTGGGTTTATTTTTAGACAGATTTTTCTTTATTCTTTTGAATTTTTGTTTCAATCCATTTTTTCTTCATTTGGGCGATTTCTTCCTCTCTGTAATAGTTCTGGGTTAAGGTTAGTTTTCTGATTTTTGTTAAATTTTATTTTGGTTTATGTTCATTCATTTTGTGTTTATGTGTGTTATAATCTGAAGCTGGGTATTATTGAATTCTGGGTTATAAATACTTTGATGATTTTCGTTTAATTTTTATTAATGGAAGATGGGTTACAGTGTTCTCGGAGTTGTTGGCATTCTTAATGTTAAATAATGGAGAATGAATAATTATGTATGTTATTTTTATTATAATTATTTGGCTTTATTTGTCATTATTTTGCTTGTATGGAATCACTGTGTAACCACTTTCATGCTTTAGTGAATTTAAGCTATAATATTAATGGGTTTTCTCTGCAATGCACACTTTTTATATTCAGAAATTTCTTTTTTAGTCCGAATCTTCATATTTTCCCCTTCATGTACATCCGACCGTTATTGTAGAACCCCAACTTTGAGGCCCTATATATAAATTTCTAGAGAATATAGGTCCAATTTTATATAGGGATTTTAAAAATGTAGAGAAATGTTGTTTACTATAGATTATATTTGAGGTTTAATGTGAAAAAATTAATGCAGAAAATTCTGTTTGGTGGGTTGTATTTTTGATTATTGTATGTTGTAGGAATTTGCTTTTTTAGTGAATTTCTGAGTGGCTTCTTATGCAAATTTAATGAGTGCTGAGTAGAGCATTATATTTGTCTTTCCTAGCTTTAATTAATTTGATAAAAAAAATAAAAAAAAAATTAATGAAAGTATGAGTTGTAATTAGTGTATGCTGTCTCTGGCATGATGCAATTATGGTTCCAAAGAGATTTATGTTAGATATATAGAGTGTGGGTCTAAAAGTGTGCGGTGCTAATTTGTGTTCTTCATACTTTTTTTTTTAACTAAAGGTGCATGTATGATGAATTATGATACGTTTCGTGGAATTTTCGTGTTGATTTGTCCTGTCTTTGTTATGCATCTAGTGTGTTGAAGCTGTATATGGTAGCAGCTGGGTTACTGCATTGGGAAATGGCAACAGAAAGTAATGCGTCGAGTGTTTTAGCAAAGTTGATGGGTATTGATAGACCATCAAACTTGAATACTGCACATCAAAGGCATAAAGTACTCTCTCAGAACTATCTTCAGAATATTGCTTCAGTTGCTAAGAGGGAGAAAGCATTCTTGTATTTGGATGAGGTTGATTCTTACATGGAGGAAAGTGAAGATACAGCTGATTATTTAGGAGGAGCAAGTGTGATTGATTACCAGAGTTTGCTTTGTCGAACTGAGAAGTCCTTTCTTGCTAGGAATTCACGTTCATCATCTTATTCCTCATCTAGTGACCGGAAAAGAAAATTATCTGTGTCTGAAGGGATTAATGGACATTTTCAAGGGAGGAAAACGAGTAGCTGCTATAACAGCTTAAAGTATCCTACTCATGGCTCTTTGTCATCTCAGGAAATAGCAAAGCAAATTTCGGGTCAAGTAAAGCATAATATTTGGCATAGTTGTGCAGAGTTATCCAGTTCAAGGCCTAGAGGTGAAAAGAATTCTGAAAATGATGAGGAAAAAATGACTTTATCTGCTCGTTTATTTGATTCAGAGAAAAAACATGAAGCTTTGTCTTTCAATTCAGCTGATGGATCTTCTAGCAGGGAATCTCAGACAGTCAGAAAACAGATCTCAGAAAGGTACAGAGCAAGGAAATGCTCTGAGGAGGTTAGAACATCTTGTGGAAGCAGCAAAATCCAAGATGAAGTGTTTGTTACAAGCAGTAATAGAAGGGATTCTGTCCTCAACATTAGTGATGGGAATTTCAACACTCCTTTACATACTGACACTTTGAATGTTTGTCCGGTTTCTGCAGCCAGATATTTGTCCAAACCAACACGTTTTCCTTCTGCTTGGGTTCCCAGAAGCAGAGCAAGGCAATTTACTTTTGATAAAAGTTGGTGCTTGAGACCAGGAAAGTGGGGTATTAAGCAATGCAATGACTCAGGGGAGGACAATATTGGGCATAAAGATGTACAATCAACATCTGAATGTAATAGCTTAGACTCAGAGAAGCCTGGCATTCATCATGCAGCTTCCACAATACTTAATGATTCAGTTGAGCTTGCGGAACATAAGTCACATGAAGAAACTTTGACATCGATCAATTCTGTAAATAACACGGCTTTTTCAGATTTAGAGAGTCCTGCTTACCACGAGGCTCACATAATTCTGAATGAGATTAAGGGAAGGCATCGAGAGAAGGTTGTTTCTCAAAACAACACTGTTACAAATTGTAATCTAGCCTTGGAGACAGAGGGCCTTTCTGATGATGAGCATAAAAGAGTGAACTTGTCTACTGAAGTTAGAAGGGAGAACTCGTCAGCTAAGTCAACTTCATGCATTTTGTTGGGAGATCAAGAATCTTGGAAGCACCAGGTACCTTTTAACTTTATTTTATCCTCATATGACTTATCAATATACGCTGGTGTAATATGGGGTTGGTAACATTGCAAATAATTTAAGATGGAGGGTAATTTTTACGCTTGGAAGAGCTAAAATATGAATGAAACCCTTCTTATACATTGCTTCTAAATCTGTTTGTTGCAAAGCAACGAGCCATGCTTTTTATCTACATTTCATCTACTCCAGATTTAAAATGCTATGCTTATTCTTGTTGCTGATTGTGGCAGCTATAGTCTCAATTCTTTCAGCCACCACGTAGGTCATTTCTGTCTTGGCTGTTTCCTCTGGTAATTTGTTTTTGACGTTAGGTCCTACAGGCTTGATGAAATAGAGAATTTCTCAATTTTTCTAGAAACTGATCTAGAATTTTGATTAAAGTTTTGTGGTGTTCTCATTGAATCTTATTATTGAAGCTTGAAGATCAATATACTGTGTCTATTGGGAGAGTACTGTTTTTGGGTCTGGTTTTAAAATCCTTAGTTACTAGTAGTTTTAATATACTATACCTTCAAACAAAGATGCGGCAAAGTGTTTGAGAAGTTGCATGAGGATGATTCCCGCAGTTGGAGACTTGGATTGTAAACCATTGAAACACACTTATTTCATTAATAAGACAAGATTTGAGGCATTGTGGTAGCTTTGCTGCCAGAATAGGATGAAATATTGAAAAATCTTGGAGGATGTTACCTTTGTTAAAGATAAATGTTGGAGGTCTTATATACATAATTAGCAGAGACATATAACTTCATTCATGGAATTTCATTTACATTGTGTTGTTTGATCTTGATTTGGCTTTATTACCTTTTCATAAATATCCTTAAATCGGTTAAGGAAGTTGTTTTGTAGATAATTCTGGTCCAACCCCTCCCTCCCCCCCGATCCTCTTTTTCCAAAAGCTATCATCCTAATTTTTAGTCTTTACAATGGTTCCTTAGTCCATTTCAGCACTTCTCTTCTCATTATTTGGATGTCATTTTTGTAGTTAAAAAAGAAAGACAAGGCTGCTGAGCCAAGGTCTCCTGTGAGTTCATTGGAAGGCCCAGAAGGTTGCATGCATATTCCAAATATATCTGTGGAGGCAGTGGGATATTTGTCTGATCAAGTAGAGAACGATTGCCAAGGTTGGTAAAAAAGTCTTATTTACTGACTCTGTTATAGATGATAATGTTGTCTCTCTAAATTTTAGATCCTCTATTGTGTGTGTAGGTTTGCAAAGAAAGCTTCAACTCATAGAAACCATGTCTTTAGAGTCAGGATCAGAGGGACCTGAGATGGTAGTATCTAGTGAGGGGGGCGATTATGAAGATTCGGTTGATTTATATCAGAATGATCCACAAATAATGGAAGTTTATCAAACTTTAATCAAAGAAAGCTTGGATTTCTCATATGTAGTTGATGTGTTGGTGGAGTCCGGTCTTCAAATGATGGACTTGGAGATAGAAAGCAAAACTTGGTGCTTGCGGGGTTATGTCTTGGAACCTTTTGTGTTTGATGAGTTAGAGAAGAAGTTTGGCAAGCATATGCCATGGGAAAAGTCAGAAAGACTGCTATTATTTGATCGCTTAAACTTGGGGCTCTTGGAGATAGTCAAACCTTCTGTTGGCCCAAGTACATGGAAGAAACCTGTAGCGAAAAGATTTTGTCAAAGGCAAAAAAGTCAGGATCTCATTGAGGAAGACCTGTGGTCGTTGCTGGTCAACCAGCAAGAGGTTATTAAGAAGAAATCTGATGAAGTGTGTAAAAAGGAGATTGAATGGTTAGATTTAGAAGAGGAAACAGATTTGATAGCACAAGAAATACAAAGTTTGCTGATAGACGAATTTATAGAGGAGTTTGTGAGTGGGGAATTTTGTTTTTGTTGAACGCGTGTTCGTGTAGATAGGTTTAGTCATTGAAATTGTACAAAATACATTTTTCTGCAGAACGTATTTGTAGAGTCTGCATGCTCCCTAAATACTGAGGGACAAGCATATAGGAGTTTTGTTTAGTGACTATTCACTTGAGGGGAACTACTATTGATTGATTTTAGCACACATTTTTTGAGTCATTCTTAAAGATTAAGTTGATAAGGGTTTGCAATGATTGCTTCATTCTTGTATAAAGCACATTTTTCATAAAGTTTGTTGAAAGTGAAATATAGTGATTGTTTTTCCTGTAATACTTGGTCCTTGATACTTTGATTGGAAGCAACCTTTATTGAGTTAAAGCGTCTTTGCTTTGTGATTTTGATAATTTGGTTGGATTACGTTTCTAATTATACTTGATATGTTGACTAGAGTGTTTTATTACAGTATTAGGATGCTAATTAGTAAAAGAGCCTTTGTTACAGATTCTGGGCAACATTAGTAGACTCAGACAGAACCGACCTATATTCAGGTACTTAATTTTAACTACTTGCTCTGGATTCTAAATCGTAAACAGCATGACTTGAACTGCCATTTTCGAGTGCTAATACAAGTAATATGGATTGATTTTTGGTAAACTTTCAATTTTAAATAGGCTTGAATATGACTTTTTCATTTATTATTATTTAATTTTTTTTTTTTAATGACTAAGATTTTTTTTTTTTTTTTTAATGACTAAGATTTTTTTTTTTTTTTTTGAGGGCTTTTAATGACTAAGATAGAGCATGCTGATATGAATAATTTAGGAAATTAATAGCTGTCACTCTGTATGTGAATTTCCTAATAGTGCATAATCTTAAAAGTCAATGATCAAATTATCCCTTAAGATTTGCTAATTAAATTGGGAAACGTGACAACTGCATATCTTCTTGATTGTTCTGATCAAGTTGATTTTCCTTATCCAACCAATCCTCTTTGACTTGACCAATCTTTGAACACAAAAATAGTCAACGTTTGACTTTTTAAAGCTAACCAAAACACCACTCAGCAGTTTATTGCATGCATTTACCGATTTACGTAAACACCAACTCCATTTCATCAACGTACTACTGTATTTATATGTTAGCAAAATCCTGAACTTTTTTACCAAATAAAAAAAGAAGCCTGCCTTTTTTGTTCAGATTTTGACCTTTTCGCCACGGAAATGCATATTTTAAAATCCATGATTGCCAAGTACTTGATTGTTTCACTGTTGCTCCTAGGCTTTATTGCATTAACCTCCACTGCTCGATTTCTCGATGAACAAACTGATTGGAAAGCTATGCATCCTCAAGGAGCCCCTGCCCCCAACCCTGTTCCAAACACAGACCTTGCTTTTACCTTTTTCATGCATGATATACTTGGAGGGTCTAACCCCACAGCTAGAGCTATCACCGGCATAGTTAACAACCCGCGACTAAGTGGCCAACTCCCCTTTGCTAAGCCTTATGGCGCAGTCCTCCCTATGAATAGTAGAGTCAAAGTAGATAATTCTGGCGGCCTCCCCTTCCTCACAGGCTTGAGTGGCACCACTTCTAATATTTTCCAAAATAATGGCATGAATGGAGTACGTCTCCCAGTTGGTTCAACCATAGAGAAGCTTATGTTTGGGACTATGACTGTGGTTGACGATGAGCTTACTATAGGGCCTGAGCTGAGCTCTGGTAGGGTGGGAAAGGCACAGGGTTTCTATGTGTCAAGTTCTGTGGATGGTAAAAGTCAAGTGATGGCCCTCACTGCTATGTTTGAGACTGGAGGTTATGCTGATACAATCTGCTTATTTGGGGTTCATCTGTTAGGTGTATCGGAATCTCAGGTGGCGGTCATGGGAGGAACTGGCAAGTTTATCAATGCTAAGGGGTATGCCATTGTCAAGTCCTTACCACCCTCAACAAATCAGGTTCAGACTGATGGGGTGGAGACTGTGGTCCAATTCACTGTCTATGTTACCTATTAAATTCTTTTTTCATTCTTTTTCTTTTTTTTTTTTTTTTTTTACCTCCTTTCTTTGATTTGGAGAAGCTACAAGATTATTTTTTTTACTGTGATTTGCATAATCACAATTAGAACCCTTGATTGTTTTGTTAGTGATAGTGTTCACAGTTCATTACATACCTTTAAGGCTTGGTATAAAATTATTATCTTACTATTTTCTTGCTTAAAATTAGTACTGTCGACCAGCTTTGTTTTTTGTTTAGTCTAGGCAGATATAACAGCTTACTTGTAGGAATAAGAGAGCTAATAACATTTCAACATTTAACAATGAGATGGCTTTACACAACTTGCAATCCTTTGTAAGACAATATTGATATATGATGATGTCGATTCCCAAGAAGCAAGTAGGCATTTTCCATGTCAAGATTATTACTCTGTTTACAAATTTGTTTAATTTGACATGAGTAAAACATCTCCTGGGAAAGACTGATAGGGAAGTTGGAATTTGAAGAAGGTTATTGTATTGAATGGAAAAAGCTGCAGTGGGGTTTCCTGGTAGTTTGATATTAGCTGCTAAATCCAATAGCTGCGCAGTCATCAGGGCCCTGTCAAGTTTTGGATAGCACAACCTGCTCAAAACCTTAGACACTTCCAGCATTCGGTTCCTTACAAGCTACAGTACATTGCAGGAATTCCCCTGAATTCCGGCAATGAAGTGCTTGATTACTTTCATGTGTCTAAAACTCATGTTTATATAATCCTACACGAAAACCACGCAGCGCAATATATATCCGGTTATGTGCAGAAATTTCTCTATTTCAGAAGATAAGTCTTCTGCTAGAAAAAATTCAGCCTCTATCTTTATTTGGCTTGATGATTTGACCTCCATCTCTCTAGACTAGGATTCTTTTATCTGTTTGTGATCCATGCAAAATAGTAACGGCTAATGGAGCCTTGATACTTTTATTTTGCTTAAATTTTCCTTACAACACATTACAAAGTTTGATGTATTCTTAAGAATGCTAAAGTGTCTAATATTTACATAGAAAAATTAGTGTTTCCCTTGCTACTTGTTAGTTCATACTTTGTAGTAGTATTAAATCGTTGGTTTCTAATTGAAGTATAAGTCTAGCAATGGTTTATTTATGTAGTTAAAGTATTCCTTTGCACATTGTGCTGTACGCCTGTACTTTGTATATATGAATAGAAACTGAGGTATATTTACAACATGGATACTCTTAAGGCGTAATTAAAAACCAATTCTAGTTTTCTAAGAAGATAACTAAAGAACCGTTCAGACTCTTTAATTTGCACATATTATCAGATTGAAGAATTGATCTTTAGCAGGATGTCTTGCATTTCATATCAGGAAATACAGAAAGAGGAAGGTAAATCCAAGAAACTCATTTTCAATAAGTACATAATTTCTGATTAACTTACATGGCTTAAATATACATACATAACACGTACAACAAAGTGAATGAAACTCCAACTTAAAAAAAGCACAAGCATCAAATTACACAAATTTAAATTTCAGGACTCTGCAGTTATACCTAGATAAGGTAAACACTAAAATGAGCAACGGTGTCAACGCCGTCAGTAGTGTGCTGGTTCTGATCAGGGATGGTTTCAATAGTTGTATATCCCTTGGCATTCTCATACTTACCGGTTCCACCGATGACAGCCATCTGAGAAATTGGAGAGGCAGTCCGGTGGACACCGAAGAAGCTGATGGTGTCATCGGTTTCTTGTTCATGACCCTCACCATGGAAGATTGCGGTGAAGGCCATGGTGTGACTTTCTCCGTCAAGGGAGCTAGCAAGGTAGAAGCCTTGGCCTCTGCCCATGATGCCAGACCCGAGCTCATGACCCTCAGTGAGCTCGTCATCAATGACTGTGATGGAACCAAACAGCAGCTTCTGGAGGGTTGTACCAGAGGGAAGCTGACCAGGGTTGACAAATGTGGCCTGGTTGTTGTTGCCACCGTTTACAACATTGTTGTTGCCAGCGTTTTGTACGACTTGCTGTTGGTTCTGACCGTTAAGTCCTGCAAAGGAGGGGACATTGTTGTTGTTGAGGACGTTGTTGAGATTGCCATTGTTCATGAGGGGAATTCCGTTGGAGACTGGGAACACTTGGTTGTTTGGCTGTGAGAATGGGATTCCATTGACGTCGCTGGAGGCAATTAGACCAGTGACAATCCTGCCTGAGGCACTGGACCCGCCTAGAACATCATGCATGTAGAAGGATATAGCAGGGTGTCCAGGCTGCTCAGCTCCGCCTGCAGCACCACCTTGCGCAGCAGGTCCTGCAGCGAGTGAAGCTGCAGGAGCTTCCTCTGGGGTTGCTGCAGCAGTAGTTGTAGAGTCTGGCTGAGGCTGATCAGGTTGATTATCCGGGGTTGCAGCTTCCTCAACTGGAGCTTCTGCAGCAGCTGCTGGAGCTTCTGCTGCAGCATCTGGAGTTTCGGCAGCAGCTGCAGCTGGAGCTTCTGTTGCAACAGGAGGGGATTCTGTCGCAACAGCAGGAGCTTGGCCGCTTGGTAAAACAGTTGTAGAAGTGGAATCATCCATTGGTGGTAGACTTGGTAGTTCTTCTGGAGGAGTAAACTGAGAGCTCATTTGGTCGAGCATTCGAGCAGAGTTGGCCAGACCTAGAGTTAGGGACAGCATTAGTAGTAGACAGATGGTGGGAAGGGAGAAAAACTTGGCCATTTCGGGTTTGGAATTTGATAATGCAAATACAACAGATTATAAAAGATTGGATTTTTTGTATCTCTCAGAGACAATTGCTTGAATTGCTGTTGTTGATGAATAGAAAGATGTGAATGAGGAGGGTATATATAAGTATCGAGAAACTTCAAATTTATTTTAATAAATGATTGTCAGAAAAAAAAATTGTAGTGGAGCTGATGAAATTGATTGTATGTAGTAGTAGTTGTTTGCAAATGAGGGTTTGATCATATAGTAGATATATTTGTATAAGTTTTGATGGGTTAAGTCAACCTAAATGTTTAAGCAGGTTGAAAAGAAGATGGTTTAGAAAAATAATGGTTAGGTAGTTGATTAGGAAGAGTTCATTGGTGTTACAGGTTGAAAAGTGCATTGATAAATTTTCTCTGTTTTGTCTTTGAATGGCTTAGGTGTGCTTAATTATTAATTAACCTTATGTGCATGACAATTAACCGGATACAGTTTTTCAATTTCCTCATTTGAAGTTTGATCATATAGATAAGTGAAGCTATTCAAAATATATATATATATATATATATATATATATATATATATATATATATATATATATATATATATATATATATATATACATGTGAGAACACCTCTCTTATATGAGAACACTTTATATGTGAGAATAATTTATGACCATTGGATCAAACAAGATCCAATGCTCCACATCTACCCTGGTCAAAATAATGGCAATATTGTAAATTTTAGATTATATACAAGAAAAATTAAAAAAAATTGTTCAGCTATTCTCTCTCTAGAAATTGAACCAGCTCTTCCCTTTCTCTCTCTTCTTTCCCCAAAAATTTCTGAACGAACACTGGTTTGATCGATCTGAATGCTAAGATATCTTTGAATTTCGACTTGAATCTACAAATATTAGGTATTTGCTGTTTTAACTATTTTTCCTTTGATATTTGGCTTCAATGTTCAAATTTTTGTATTGAATAAGGTTTTTGTGATTTTGTTGAAACCCTAGAAATCGCAAATTCTTCATCAAATGGATTCAATCTAAGCTATTACTACTTATGAACGAAGGATGTAAGTATCAATTTATTGATTTTGGGCATTTTACTTTGTTTTTATGTGAATTTTGGTAGTATCAATTTAAATTGAAGGATAATAATATTGGTGCTCTAAAGCTAAGCTCTTGAATCTGTTAGTTTATAGGAAATTGATTGTTTATTTTGGGATGTTTACTTATTGGATTTAATGGATCAATAATATGATTATGTTGTATTTCTCTCTCTTCTTCATTATCATCATTGTTTATAATCTGCAATAGTATTCTTGATGTTTGATTTTTTGCAAATTTAGAAATCACTTTTAGATGCTCATAACCTATTCGATAAAATGCCAAGCTGAAATTTAAGTGCATGTTGCGTGTATGATTATGTAAATCAATATTGTTGTTTTGACTATCTTAGCTTAGATTAGCAAGTGTAACCTTGTTTTTAATCTCTGTTTTAAGCTTCTAACATACTTTTTTTTTTTTCAAATTGAGATGGTGATGAAGCACTTGTCAAAAAGAAAAAAAGTGATGGTGATGATGAAGCTGTAAAAATTGATGATCAGTGGTCTAGAAGTCCAATTGTGGAGTCATCTTTATTAGAAGCTATAAACAATGATCAAATTCAAAGGTTGGTTATCATCCATGGATATTGTTCAATTTTTTATAAATGTTAGATGTGTTCTAAAATGTTACTCATATGTTTTTTTTTTTTTTTTGAGATTAAATTTTACTCATATGTTCTAAAACTTTACTTATATGTTCTAAATTTAATTCAATTCTAATTTTAATTCTTATTTTACTCACATTTTATGTTTTCTACTAGAATTTTGTTGAGTATGCAGTATATATACATTCTAGTTCAATTGTTAATTTTTGCTACAACTTTATATATGTCTAAATTTTTTACCCATATGTTCTAAATTTTTATACATATGTTCTAAATTTAAACTCATAAGTTCCAAATTGTATAATGTAAGTAGCAGATTTAATTGAATCATGTAAGTTGTGTAAATCTATTTTTTTTTTATAATGATGTTAAAAATGGGATAGCGGATACCAAAGTCTAATGATTTTATCTTATTATATTGCAGATCGATCAAATGAAGAAATTGAGGGTGGATTTTCGTGCTAAAATATTATCACACAAGGAAAATGAGCTACATCATGAGATTACTTCAAGATCACGGAAATGGGCGAAAGAAAATAATTTGTAATAAAATTTTAGAAATAGCATGTAGAATTTTATATAGTATAATTATACTAAAACTATTTTTCTAAAAGGTTGTATTCGAATATATAAGCTTGTCTTGTCTTTCTTGTGATTTACTTCATTGTTATGCATGCAAGAATATAAAAATACAATTTATTATATATTAATACTCATATGTTACAAATTTTTATCCATATGCTATAAATATTAATGTGAAAATATATAATGTTATATAAATTTTTATGTTCTAAATTGCTATTTAGAAATCCCCTTAGAACAAAAATATAGCATGTTATTGTAAAATATTAGTCATATGTTCTAATTTTTTACCCATAAGCCCATAAGTTCTAAATTTTTATAAAGTTGTTCTAAATTATTACTCATATGTTCTAAAATTTTAGCCTTATGTTCTAAATTATATGTTTATATATGTTTTAAATTATAACTCATATTTTTTATATTAAAACTCATATATTCCATTTTTTTACTCATATCCTCCCACCCAAATACATCTAAATGAAATTTAAAGTCATGCAGCACACCCTCCCACCAATTTAAATCATTATGGTCTAAATTTTTAATTTTGAAATCCCATCGAAAACATACAAAACACATGAATTAAAAAATAGTACTTATGTATTCAAGAACTAAGAATTTAAGTGATAAATTTTAATCATATGGTCTAAATTAAAATTTTGAAATCGCATCGGAAACATACAACACACATGATTACTAATTATAACTCATATGTTCTAAATTTTTAGTCATATATTCTAAACTTCAATACATACGAAGTATATGTATTAAATTCAAACTATAATCATTTTTATACTACAAAAAAGTGTTATTCAATACACAGATTCAAAAAAATGTTCTAAAATCATTAAGTATCATTTAACTTTCTTTGGACAATTTTGAATATCATGGTGACTCAATTCCCCACAACATATGCTAGTAGCATTATTTTCAACATTACTTCTTGCATTCCTCTTAGCTTCCAAATTCAGCCTCAATCATTGAAGATTAATCACAAGGTCTTTGATATCTTCATCATCGCCCTCTGCCAAACTAACACAATCATGTTTTGAACAACCACTCAAATGATTCAATATCTTCCTTTGCTATGTAACCAGCCGCAAAAGTGATGCAACTCTTGTGATGATCAACCCTTGTAAATGGAGTAAATGCCATGTTGTACTTGTTTAGAACAAGAAGATCAAATTTCATTACACACGAAATATAGCAGTACCTATTTAGAACACGTGATTAAATATTTAGAACATATATATGAGTAAAAATTTAGAACACGTGATTAAATATTTAGAACATATGATTTAATATTTAGAACACATGATTAACTCAGAACAGAAGACATTATTTAGAGAATAGATTTAAGGCTGAAGTTTACTTAATTATTTAGAGCATAAAGGTAATGAGTTTATAAAACATAATTTGGACCATTAGACTAAAACTTTATAACATTAAAAATAAATTTTACAACATGTGAATAAAATTTAGAACATATGATAAAAATTTTTAGAACACGTGATTAAATATTTAGAATATATGATTTGAACAGAAGACTAATTTTTAAGAGCTTAATTTCAATAATGAAGTTTATTTAATTGTAATCGGAACATAAGAATCACTATTAAGTACATTTGAATGAAGAGTTAGTTGTTAAAGCTTATGAGCATATAAAATACAATTTGGAACATTAGACTAAAAATTTAGAACATTAGAAACAATTTTTAGAACATTTGAATAACAATCTTAGATCATGTAAGTTTTTTAGAAAAAACAATTTAAGATTTAGAACATATGAGTATGAAATTAGAACAATATTTATAATAATTAATTCAAAGTGTACATGCAAATTTGATTTAAAACAAAGAGATTTATTATATATAGAACATAAATTCAAGACTAAAGTTTAACCTAATTAAGATGTTTGTTCTAAATTTTTACTTATATGTTCTAATTTATGACTCATACGTTCTACATTGTTATTTAGACACCCCCTTAGAAAAATCAGAACATGTTCAAGCTAAGAACAAGAGGAGAGAGAAAGTCAAGCTTTATGGAGAGAGAGAGAAGCTGATAATTTGAGCATGGGTTTGGAGGATGAGTTGAATGTGTGGGTAGGAAGGGTTTTATTTGAGCGCAAATTTACACTTTTGCCATTACTCTTGGAGTGATCTCAGCTGTTGGATCTTGTTCTATTTAGGGTTGTGATGTATTCTCATATATGATAGATTTCTCATATAAAGACCTATTCTCACAGGATCCCTCCCCTATATATACATATATATATATACATATATGTACATATATACATATATACATACATATATATATACACACATATATATATATATACATATATATATATATATATATATATATATATAAGTGAAAATAATACGGAGTACCGAATTTGGATAATAAGGGTTTGTTTGCATTTACTGAATTGAGCTGAACTGAACTGATTGGAGCTGAACTGAACTGAACTGAACTGAAATTAAGTAAATATGAACAGACCCTAAATAATAATAGAATCTCAAATGTGATAAGCTCTTGCCATAATATCAAGTTTGCTATTCTTTCAAGTGTTTTGTTTTTATAAAAATTTCTATCGACTTTTTACATGTGGTAATGCATAACTTTAATTGATAATATGTATTTTGAATTATGAATAAGTTTAATAAATTACCAATGGATGATTTCACTTCAACAACTGTTACCAAGAGTGATAAGATTGCCTCAACATATAGTTTTAAAATTAAACTAGTTATTGGCTCGGGCGATGTCCTGGGTCATTATGAATTTATTACTTTAATCGAACTATATATATATTTTGGCTTGTTTGTCATTGAGAGCTTAAGTGGTAGGGATGTCAATGGGGCGGGGCGGAGCGGATGTTGGCCTTCCCATCCCCA